ATTGTCATTAGTATTATTGTTGTTATTATTGTTATCATTGTTATCATTACCTTAATGATGATTGTGTTGATGAAAGTAATGATAATAATAATAACAATAATGCTAATAATGTCATAGATAATAAAGATAATGATAATAACAACGATACTACTATTGATAGTAATAAAAAGTAAGTTAAAAAGGATATCATTTATAATGATTATTATTATCATTATGGTAATAATGTGATGATAATGCTATGAATAATAATAATGATATAAATGATGGTAATGATGATGATAATAATGATAATGTAATGATGATAACACTGATAATACCTGTAATGATAAGTATCAAAATCATATTAATATCAATGATAATGATAGTAAAGACAGAAAATTATAATCAAGATGATAATGATAATTAAAACAAAATAATTGTAACAATAACGATGCAAATAATGAAAATAATGATAAGTACAACAGAAGCAAAAGTGTAGCTAATAATGCTTATAGTAATCATTGAAAATGATGATAATAACTGAAGGATAATAAGTGCAGTATTAATAATAATAGTATATAATAATGATATAAAAATTTATAATAATGATGATAATAATAATAATGATGATAATAATAATATGATAGTGATAATGATAAAACAATAACATTGATAATAAAGTAAAATGATGAAAATAATAAAAATAATGATATTAATGAAAATGATGATTATAACAATGATCATAATAACAATAATAATAATGATAATAAACTTGAATACTCATAAACATACCACCAATAATTATAATGATAACAATAATGATGGTGATAATAGTATGATAATTATAATGATATTGATAATAATCATTGATGATATTGATAGTAATAATCATAACAATAATATTGATTTTATGGTTATCAATCATAGTCATGATGATAGTAAAAGGAATAATAATGATGAAAAATTATGACAATAATAATAGTAATGATAATAACAATGATAATAACAATAACGATTATGATAATAATAAAAATGATAGAATCGATAATAATAATAACAATGATAATGATACTAATGATAATGATCATAACAATCACAATCATAAAAAGATTAATATAAATATGAATAATAATAATAAAAATGATGATGACATAAATAACAAAAATAATAATAATGTTAATAATGATGGTAATGATAATGACAATAATGATGATCATGGCAATAATAATGATTATGACAATAATAATGATAATAGTAATAGTGATAGTAATAATAGCAATAATAGCAGCAATAATAATGATGGTAACAATAATGATAATAAGCAAAGTGATGATAATGATAATGATAATGATAATGATGATAATAACAACAACAAAAAATGATAAAAAAAATAGTAATGATACTAACAAAAATGAAATGTATTATGATAATGATACTAATAATAATAATGATTACAATTATACTTATAATTATGATAGTAATGATAATAACAATAATGGTAATGGCAATTCTAACAACATTGATGATAAGGAGCTGATGATGATAATGATGAAATTAATTGTAATGATAATGATAATAAAAATAATAATTAATAATATGATGATAATAATGATAATTAATGATGATGATAATAAAAATAATGGTAATAATAATAATAATAATGATAATAATAATAATGATAATAAAAATAACGGTAATAATAATAATGATGATGATAATAATGATAACAATGATAATGATATAATAATAATAATAATAATATATAATAGATAATAATAATGAATAATAATAATTAATATATAATAGTATAATATATTATAATAATAATGATATTGATATACTATCATTATTATTATATTATTATTATTATTATTATTATTATTTATTATTATTATTATTATTATTATTGATTATTATATTATTAATTGATTATTTATTATTATTATTATTATTAATCATTATTATCAATTATCATTATTATTATTATTATCATTATTATTATAATAATGATAATTGATAGATTAATAATAAGGACAATAATGATATTGATAATGATACTTGATAGTAATGATAATAATGATAAACAATAATAACATATGAATAATGACAATAAATAATATATAAAAAATATTACAACAAGTGATAGTAATTGCAATAATAACAATGACAATAATAACAGTGATAATGTTGATAAAAGTAATAAAGATGATAACAACAACTACAATGATGATTGCAATAATGATAATAATGATATATAATGCATATGATGATGATGATGATGGTGGTAAAAGCAAAGATAATAACTAATATATTTATCATTATCATATTCATTGTTATTATCATTACATCATGTATGGCATTATCAATTATCATTGCGTATTATTGATTATCATTAGTACTGTTATCATATTAATTATCATCATCAACATTACTATCATTATTATTATTGTTATTATGCCACTATCGAGTTATCGATCATTATTATTATCATTACTATTACCAATGGATAATTATTAATCTTATTATTATTATTCATGAATTATTACTATTTATTATTACATTGGTTTATCTTAATTTTTATTATTGGATCAATGTGCTTATCGATTAATCGATTATTATTGTTATGCATTATCATTATTACATTATTATTATATTATTATTATTACTTATTATGAATTTATTATCATATGTATTATTTTCTTTCATTATTAGTATAATCTATTATTATTTATTATTAATATTATTTTATTTCATTATCATTATTATTCTCATCAATTATAATTATTATTAATTATTAATTAACTATATTAGTTAATAATTATTATTTAATTAATGTTAATATTGAATTATAAGTTTATTACGTATTGTATGTAATTATTTAAATATTTGACTTAGTTATTTAATAGTTAATTTATACATTTTATTAATCATTATATTAAATCTATTGATTAAAATGTATTAGGTTTATTTATCATTATTATTGAAGTTATTATTATAATATTAATTAATTATTTATTACTTATTATTATTATTTGGATTCATCAGAGTCATCATTATCAATTTAATTATTAACTCATCTTTTGCTAGTATATATGTGTGATTATAATTGTGTAAGGTGTTGATTGTTATACGATTGACTTTAATTATGCCTCATCATTGATATATATCATTCATCATAAGCTATAAGATTTTTTTGTCATGGTGTGTGTCATTATCGGGATTATATAGTGTTACTGGGCATACATATTAATATTTTGCCATTATTATCATTATTAGTAGTATTGTAAGTTATATTTATGTTTAACATTATCAATAATATATAATTTAGTGTCAACATTAATTTATCATGAATGTTTTATATCATATCATATTGATATAAGTTAGTATAATTGAATTTATTATTAATGATATATGCATTATTAATTATTATATCTATTATTATGTATTATTATTATTATATTATATATTAATTAATTTATTATATATTATTATTAATTATATTGATAATTAATTCATATGATAATATTTATTAATTAATTATAATTTAATTACTTAATTATTTGATATATTTGTTTAATAATTTATATAGTTTATAATTATCATATATATGTTATTTTAATGATTAATTGCATTAGGATAACTGATTATTCATTTATAGGTAATTATTGATAATATATAAATTGATGAATTTACATTATATTAAGTTGTAATATACTAAACGTAACTAGGACTCAAATTGGTATACGGTACGTTATCTGAATTCTTCGAACTAAATCTCATCATGGTAGAATATACAGTATGAGCATATGTAATACATATCATTTATTAATGGCGCAATTATGGGTAAACTTAAAATGATAAAGATAATTATAATAATTTGTAAATGATAATAAATCATGTAAATTTTTGTAAATACTTATCGCGTAATATGTTATATTAGTTTATCTTACATACTTTTTTTAGCTTTTTATACATGCCCAATCAAATCTATCATATCCCAATACATTGTTCATTAACTATATTCATTATTATCGATATTTAATTGTCACATATCTATGTTACGATTGATTGTATCAACTCTTATTATTTTTTTATATAATTAATCAACTGTTAATTTATTGCTCAGTTGTTTTATTGCATAGCTAAATTAACTGCTTGTAATTTAATTTTATATTTACATTATTATTGGTCATTTCATGTTTAATATTTGTTCTATAGTATTTGTTATCTAATCTATTGTAGTCATTTTACTATTTCAGTAATCATTCTATCAATATTTATTATATTGGTCCTTAGATTCTGTAATTCATCATACTCCATTTATTACAAATAATTAATGAATAAATATACTAACTGATAATTGATGTGAATAGAATGATATAATGAATAATAATAACTATAAATAATAATGAATGAATAATATAATAATAATCATATTATTATTAATATGATTTAGATCAATATGAATTAATCAAAATTAATACATAAATACAATGATAAGTTTCAATATCATTATCATTTTTAGAAAGAGTTATATTGATTTCATTAATATTAATTTATTTCATTATTATATTTTATATTATGTGTTTGATTCACATAAAATTTAATTTCTTATTATGTGACAGTCTGATTATTTGTTAATTGTTATATGTATTAGCATTCTATTTATTTCTTTTTAAGTTTCTATACGCATCTCATATTTTCCTTATTTGTGGTTGTTATATCATCGATATTTTAGTGTCATATTATTAGTGTTTTTTTGAATTGCGCAGGCTTATTTATCACGAAATCTATTATCATTATCGTTTGAATTGTCATTTAGCGGCTCATGCAGTTAGTTTGATTCATTGAGTGTTAATTGGCATCAAGTGTATCATGGTTAGTGATTTCTTATGACATCGAGTGTTATTAATTATTCTTATTATGTACGCTTAAGGAATTTGTATGTCACTGTCTAATTCATATAACGTGTTGATCATTAATTGTGCACTATTATAATCTCTTGATATAATTATTTGTAGGTTATTGATGACCGATTTATTTTGTATTTGCATATATGCATTTACATTCTAATTTCATCATTATCTCGATCATCTAGCTCTTGTTGACTGTGTCTGGTTTAAGTGGTCCCTTTTATAACATGGTCTATGATGGTATAGTTATGCTCATTAGGTGTGTATTCACGTTTGTTTTACATCTGTATACTGTGTTGTTGTTAGTTTATTGACTGTTAGGGGTGTGTATCTGATGTCGAAGTCAATTATACATGATATGAATTATGGAGTAAGTATGGAGGTATTGTGCATTCAAATTATTGCAGTTATACTTTAGTATTATTCATTCATGTTGGAATATCATATTTACTGACATTTCTTTTTTGTTGTGTTTTGATAGTTCCTCAAATCAAAATTTTTAATAAGTAATTGACAAAAATATTTTTTTACTATTATTACATTTGTTTATCAATTTTCAATTTACTTAATTTGTCAAGAACTTTATCTTTTTTATTTTTTCAGATTGGTTTTATTGATGTTATGTTAGTATTAGATATATTATATAGTAAAGTGATCATATAGTTGTTTTTAGTCAGTAATTAATGTTGCTTAATCTCAAATGTTGATAATCTAATTCACATTTGGGTTCTGATATGCCCATATATTTATTGTTGTTTAACATCTGTATATGTCATTATTATAGTTTTGTCGCTCGATGTTCAGTTGCTATGTTAGATTTTGCTATGTTTATTATAACTTTCAAACTTGAGTTATATGCTAGTTATTATCTATTATTTCTGAGTTGTGGTTGAAGTTTGCAATTATATTAATTATTGCACTCATGTAATCGGTCATCATTATTATTAATCTTGTGATCATTCATTGTTTTCTTTTACTCCTGGATGCATTGAAGTGAAAACGCATTATTTGAATATCATTGATATGATTGATGTATTATCCTTTGATTAATATGGTATTGCTTTAGTGTACTACTTCATTTTTATTTCATTATTTAATTTTTGACTCAATTATTACCTTTTAAGCGCGTTACGATTAGTATCTGTTATTATTCTGTATGATTGGACATTTGGATGATTGTTATTGTGTGGTAGTCTATTTATTTTAAGATTAGTATCATTATACTGAGGTTGTTATAGCTGTATTATTTTTTTGATCGGTTTATCCATGCTATTACATTTCTAGTTTCATTATTATTCATAATAACTCAGTGTATCTTAATTGTATTTAGTGCTTTAGTTTATTTATCATAGTTATGCTGTTATTGTACATATTTGTCTGAGTATTGATATTGATTTTTGTTCTCCATTGATTAGTTTCCTGTTTACTTATTCAGTCTATAATGTAACTCGAGGTGCAATTTAATATGCCAGTGAAATTCAATTTATTGTTTATGATTTATATAGTTCATGCATTATGTGTACTATCAATTGACGTATCATCAATACTCATCTAAGTATATAGGTGTATAGGGTGTTTCACTCGAGCCTATTAGTTATCTAAATTATCAATCCTCTATCATGCCATTATCATTTTCATTATCATTTATCATTACTACTAATAAATTATGTGCTTTTGTTATTGAGTTACGGTTTGTGTCATTTATAATTATTGATGGTGTATGATTATCCTGTGAATTTTGTGGGTTGCTCTATAGTGTGATTATTTTATTTATGTATAGATTGCTGATTATGTGTATCGAGATTATCTTTATTATCATGTATTTATTGTTCTATTCCTCGCCTATTAAATTTATGTTCATCATTATTGATATACTATTATTTATTCATAATTTCATTTATCCTTATGTATTATGGTATACTATAAATTAGTCGATTTCGAGTAGGATCATACTACCACTTAACAATACGTTTAGTTATTTTAAAATCAGAATATAATTGTTCGCTCTATCATATCACATTAACAGTATTGTTTATTATGATTAATCATTACTATGATTATTATTTCCATCAAAATGCTATATATTCATGATTCAATTAAATTCTTTATCATTGACATTATAATCACTATTACTTTATTCCTGTTTTAAAAGCATGATCTTTACAACCATTATCATTATATTTTTGTTATTAGGTATTATGGTCCTTGTTAGTTTTTTGCTGTCATTCCGAATGGTCGTCATTTTAATATAATCATTAATTATTATCATGCTTAGTGGTTAGCGTTATTGTGTGCTTTATCAATATCGATATAGGATACTATTTGTTTAATTCATAGATAAGTGGGTGGTGGTTTATTCGATTAATGGTTCCCTTCTTATCAGTAATTTTCAGATTTAGACATTACATTATCATTATTTATTTATCTCCCATAATCACGTTATTCTTCAATAGGTAATAATTTTTTTGTTGGCTTTGATCGATAACGCAGAAGTTTTTTGTTATTATGGTTCTTTAATTTTTATAAGATTTCGGAGGTAAAGTTTTCATTGATCTTTTTCGATAGTGCTTTTTAATGTCATTTATCTCAAATCTTCAGTGTACATTTATTAGGACTCATATCACCTTTTGGTTAATTTCTGTCTTTAGTGTTATCGTTATCAATTTAAAATCATTATTTAGTTTAGGAAGTTGTCGCATGCATATACAACTACTATCAGTAATAGATCTCGGTATGATTAAGTTAGTCATTATCCACTCATGTTTCTTGTCATTGTGGTCACTAAAGTATTTTCATTACTATGTAATCCATTTAGATCAGAAGTTTACTTATTCTTCATCATCTATCACGTACCCATCGTTTCTTTTCTGTATTTTTATAGCATATATGATGTATGTATACATATATGTGATACTTTTTGCACTTGATAATCACCTTACCTCCACGTAGTATCGTAGCGTGATAGACAATATCAGTATTAGTATAACAAATTAGCACTGTAATACTCTCATGGTTACCCTTCTTCATTGAATATTCTATAATCTAGAATGTATTCATATTATACTTATATTTATAGTAAACTATTTACTATTATGATATAATATAATATACTATATACTACTATCTACATATTTATATTGTATATATAATACCACACTAGCTCATATAACTACACTATTATATTATAATCATTATTCTATATCTATATATACTGTTATATTATATAGTAGTATATATATATTAGTATATATTATATATATTATATTATTAGCATATCAAATATGTCATATATATTAATGTATAATTATAATTACTATACATACCAACACATACATTAACACACTATACATTTACCTTCACACGTCAAGCACACACAATCCACGATCAATCACATCACACACACCACCAAACACACACGATATATATATAATATATTATATATTATCTTATTGATTCTATTTATATATATCTCATCTAATTTATTATCTATTATACTATTACATACACTAATTATGAATCGATATGTTAATATATTATGTTAGTGTATATCTCTTACATACGCCACTATCACAAGGAATAAACACTTACATCGACTCTCACACACACGCTGGAGCACATCAATCAAACACTTTACGCACACAGTTCACTACACAGCACTCTACACACACACACTTACACACTATCACACCACATCTACTCACCACCACACACACACACACACCACACACTCACACACCACCACACATCACAACACATATATCATATATTTAACATTATATACTATAGTATTTATTCATTTATTATATACATCGTATCATATATATTATATATGTAATATTTAATATAATATTTATTATTACTAATAATATTATAATATAATTATAATCTTAATCGATACATCTATATATCGATTACTATTTCTCTCTGACTTTATCTACTCTTTATCCTGTATATATGTTGTATATTTCATTGTGATACGATATGCATCATACATATTAATATATTATATAATATTATAATTATATATTATACCAATTATATATGTAGGTATATTGAATATATTTATATTTATATTATGCTTATTATATTATATTTATTATTATTCTTGCCTTGTATTGATTACATCTTATTTTATCTCCAATACTATGCTACTCTCACACTCACCTTATAATCTTATCTTGTAATATATGTATATCCGTATTTATATATATATATTCATTACGCTAATATGATATACTACTACTTATTATATATATCATTTGTAGTTGTGTGTGGTGATTGTGTGTGTGTGTGTTGCGTGTGTGTGTGGTGTGTGTGTGTGCTGATCGTGTGTGTGTGTGAATGTGCTGTGTGTGTGTGTGTGTGTGTGTGTGTAGTAGTGTGCTTGTGATGATGAGTGTGTATGTGTGCTACTATATATATTAACTACTATATATTCTACCATCTATGAATTATTATATAGGTTACCTTACTTATATTATTATATATATTAGTTTTTCGTGCGTGTGGTGTGTGTATATATATATATATATATATAATACTATAAGTATATACTATATTATATTATACTATAATACGTATATATATCGTACATCATGTAATTTCATGTATGTCTGTATGTACTGTACTTACGTTCATACGTATGTACGTACGTGTTTTGTAGGTAAATGCCTATGTATGTATGCATTTACTTATGTATGTATGTAATGTACATCTATATATTTCTCCATCAAAAGAGAACTGAACTTCAGATATATACATATAGATATTTGTATGTGTATATATCACACATGTCATGTTTACTCATAAAAAAAGTTAAGAACAGAGTATAGCATTTAGGAAGTATATTTTTTCTCACTTTTTATGAGTTCGGGTATTCAGAACACGTTATAACGTAATATAAATTCAAATTAAATGTCTGTATTAGTATTAACGCATTTAATTTTCTGATAGTTGTAGATATGTTGTATAACTTAAGGGTTTTTTATGTCAGATCACAAACTGAGAAAACAAAAGATAGACAATTGGTTATTTTTACTTATGGTTGTCACTTGCCCCTCTCTACTCTTATGGTGTTTAAAATTAAAGGGTACAATTTCTTAAAAGATCTCCCCTG